ACAACAACTAAAGCACTAGCTCAACAAAAAATGAACTGTCAAAGTCATTTGTTGGGTTTGCCAACCGTAAACAGGTTTAAGTATTAATCTTAAAAAAGTTCTGGGGCCTCAGGGGCCCCAGCCAATGTAAAAGAGAAAGGCCCAGTAAAGTCAGAGGTAGACTCTGCCGTGGAAGGTGCCGGAGCGTGATTAGATCTCCTCCAATGAACTGTGCATCAACACAAAACCAGACGTGGCTATTTAAGGCTTGGAAGACACAGTGCAGGTCTGTGGCTCAGGCAGTGGAGCTAAAGAAGCTGCTAATAAGGACGACCATATAGAAAAAAGGGCCCTCTGATCCAGGTTACAGGCATCAGCAAGGGCATCCCGAGGCCGGGTGTCACCCGGAGTGGAGACTGGATGACACCCCGCCGTGAGGTCATCGTGCATGCACGTGACGTCACCATGCGCGTGCGTGATGACGTCATTGCACATATGCGGTCATCTAATTGATGCCTGCTGGCAGCCATCTTAGTTATGGACACCGGCAGAGAGAGGAGGGGACATTCACCCGGCGGGATACCTCATCCCGCCGGGTCCCCTCCTCTCTCCTAACACTGTTGGGTTCTCGGTCCATGACCTACTGCCAGACATTTTAGACAAAAATGACTGTCAGTTATTTTGGTGTCACCCGGGTGTGGGCCGCACCAGGAAGACCCCAATGCTGAAACCTAGAAAAGCCAGATTGGAGTTTGCCAAAACTTATCTGAGGAAGCCAAAATCCTTTTGGGAGAATGTGCTGTGGATAGACGAAACAAAATGACAGCTTTCTGGTAAAGCCCAACATTCTACTATTTTCAGAAAAACAAATGAGGCCGCTGATGAAAAAAATACATTCCCTACAGTCACACATGGGGGGGGGGTCACTGATGTTTTGGGGCTGCTTTGCTGCTTCAGGCACTGGATGTCTTGACTGTGCGCATGGCATTATGAAATCTGAAAACTACCAAAGAATTCTTGGGTGCAATGTTGGGCCCAGTGTCAGAAAGTTGGGTCTCCGTCAGAGGTCATGGATCTTACCGCAGGACGATGACCCAAAGCACACGTCAAAAAGCACCCAGAAATTGTTTCAGACAAAGCTCTGGAAAGTACTGGACTGGCCAGCAATGGGTCCAGATCTGAATCCCATAGAGCTCCTGTGGAGAGAAAAGGAGCCTTCCAATATGAGAGACCCGGAGCAGTTGGAGAAAGAAGAGTGCTCCAAAATTCCTGTAGAGAGGTGTGAGAAACGCATTGATGGTTACAGGAAGCCATTGATTTCAGTTATTTCTCCCAAGGGCTGTGCTACCAAATATTCATTGAGGGCAGGGGCGTCCCGAGGCCAGGTGTCACCCGGAGCAGAGACCGGGTGACACCCCGCCGTGACGTCATCGCGCATGCGCGAGATGACAACATCATGCATGAGCGGTCATCTTAGACCCCATTCACACTGAGCGACATGGAAATCGCACGACATTGCGCGACATCTTCCTATTGGGCTGTATGCAATCAGGAGCAATATCGCTCAAAGTCGCTCTAAAAAAGGGTCATGTAGGAGCGACAAGCTACCAGCGACGAGCTACAAGCGATATTGAGCGATATTGAGCGACGAGATGTGAACAGCTACATTGAAATGTATTGGTGAAGCTACATAGAGCGATATAGCGCGGAAATATGAGCGATATCGCTCAGTGTGAATGGGGCCTCATAGACACCTGCCAGCGGCCATCTAGGTGATGAACGCCGGCAAAGAGAGGAGGGGACGTTCACCCGGCAAGATGAGGTATGCCCCCGGGTCCCCTCCTCTCTCCTGACACTGCCGGGCTCTCGTCCATGACCGAGTGCCTGACTTTTCATTGGGGGTGACATCAAAATGATTGTCAGTCATTTTCTTGTCACCCCTCCAATGGTGGCACCCGGGTGCGGGCCACCCCCCCTTGTGACGCCACTGATTGAGGGTGCCAATAATTTTGTCCAGTCCATTTTTGGAGTTTTGCGTGGAATGTGTCAGATTCGGCTTTCTTTTCTCCACCTTTTTGTTTCATACCAATACAAAACAAAAGAAATAAACGTGAGAACGACAAAACATTTGTAATTGCAACAATTTTCTGCGCGGAGGTGGCGCATTATCTGACAGAAATGCAGGGTGCCAATATTTTTGGCATTGACTGTAATATTACATACAGATGACGTATATATTGTATGCATCCAGTAAGGCTTTTATTTGTGTCGCCGCGTATACTTTACTAACAACAGTGCTGAAAATAAATCAGATGATTCAGAAGCTGTAAACTTCCATCTGACCCGTTTCATCATTAGTGTGCTCCTAATTTCAGGACTCAGAAACGCAATCACCTCGGGATTAATGAATTAAGCGCTGTACAAGGCTGGTAGAATTAATGGAGCTCTTGTGAATTCAGCAGGAAATCAGGTTTGGTCTGAGTATGTAAGCAATCCTGTGCATCAGATAAAGGAAATCCGACGTTTCCGGCTTCACTGTGATAAAAAAAAAATCACTGCCCCGGTATGAAGCTTTCCTCTGAGGCTTCTCACAAGGGGAATTTATATTATTTATATTAGAAGACATTCCCTCTAAACTTACTTAAAGGGGGAAATTGATTAAAATTGGAGTAGACAGCATCTGGAGCAGTTGCCTATAGCAACCAATCAGCTTCTCTCTCAGTTTGTTAAATTAAGAATTGAAAATGAAACAAAGAAAGCTGATTGGTTGCCACAGGCAACTGCTCCAGATGCCGTCTACTCCAATTTTAATCAATTCCCCTCAGTGTGTTTTACTTATTGCAATCCAGATTGATTGGTAAAAGAAATAGGCTTAAAAAACTAGACATGGTGCACGGATTTTTTTTTTTATTTCGGACGAAACAAATATAAAATGAAAAACATTTCCATTCGTTTCGTCAATGGTAACGAATTTTATGGCTGTTTCAGATTCGGAGGCAACGAGCCTCCAAATTAGGAACCGCACAAAGAAGCTGCTGAACGAGAGGCGGCCGTTTTGTCCGTCAGCGTGTTCTGCGCGTGCGTGCCGCACTTTGGAGTAAATCTTGGTATACACCAAGATAGCGGCACCCAAATATGGGCGCCGCCATCTTGGTGTATACCAAAAAAACTCCAAAATGGTGGCACGCATGCGCAGAAACACACTGGCGGCCAATCTGGCCGCTGCTCGTTTTGCGAATAACGTCACCCATGACGTGGCGTCATGTGACATTATGCACCCCGCCTCCGCACGTTCTGATAAGAAATTTTTATATGCCCGAATATCATAAAAAACATAAAAATGTCAAAGTGTTAAGGGGGGTGATTGGATAGAAAGGCCTAACCCTGCTTTCTAGAACTTCTTTGCTCCATGTCCATTGAGCTGCGCTGATCTGTGTTAATGAACGCAGTGAGAACGCAAGGACACCCCCCGGAACTCCCACAAGGCAACTGGGAGCAACAAGATGGCTTCCATTTGGCCCATTCATAATTCACCACTAACTAAAAAATAACATCATGTCACGGTACCAACGATGCACAGCACTGATCTGCGGCACTCAGAGTCTCACCGAGTGGGCATTTCCACAGGAGCTGGGCTGGATTTGGCAATAACGGGAGTCCATGGTTCCTCCGAATCTTCTCTTAGCTCCAGTTTTAAGTCGGCCATTTATATCAACGCTGCTGAAAATAAAAAACAAAATACTTATCATATTAGGCAACAGGAGCGCTTTTTTTCCCCCCTCACCTTTACATTCCCGTACACATCCGAAATTTGTATGCTATGGCTCCGACTGTTCCCCAATATGACACAAATGACCGGGGGTCCCCTGGACACGTGCTTGCTCCTCCAATAGTGGAACGACAGCAGAATCCCCCCC